CTTTGGTGTCAATTCATAGCAAACAACGTGTATTCCTCACTGACTGTCCAATTCAGACTTTGCCTTCTTGGATTTACGGATTCCAGATTGATGATTTGATGGAGTAAACATAAATATTTAGTTTTCTCCAAGGTGCTTTGTATTTCTCGTTGACTGGTTCTCATATTAATATTAAATGCTGAATCTTATAGTAGTAACGATGCCTCAACGGCATCTGAAGGTTCATTTAGATGTTATTCGGTTAATGGTGGCCGGCGATGGAATCCAGGATGTTTGAGATTCATCAGCTTTTGTGTTCCTAACTGAAACAGCACCTCTCACTCGATGTGCAAGTACCTTCGCCAACTTGACGTATCCCAAACAGGTTGAAATGTGCATAATTCTGAATTCTATTGCTAGACACAATCAACCAAATAAAGTTTTGTTCTGATTTATTTTTGAGATTTGCATTCAATTCTCCTTTCAACAGTGTTGCTGTTTTGCTGATAAAAAGAATGCTTAACTGTTAAAATGGGATTACATACTTATTTATTTTACTTATGTAATCCCACGAATAATATCTTTGATAGAATTCAGTGAAACTATTGTTTGTAAAAAAAGGGCACAATTTTGACCAGAAGAGAAATAAAAAAGATATTTTTAGATAAGGTGAATCAATCTAATATAAATGTAAATCCATCAGTCTTCAGATTTCACTTAGATTTGATGTCATTGATAACTGGGATACAGATAAATTTCTCTATTGTAATCATCATTTTTACGCATTTTAAATGATTGCATAACAGTAAAACTACTTCTGGTATCCCTTAAACATACTCAAATGTATGGAAAGAGGCGTGTTTAAACGCGCGCACAAACATATACACGTGAAGTTGTAGATCAACAAGAGATTTATGCTATAATAAGGTATTATTTCTCATGAATAAACCTTTTTTCGTCTCTGCCCTTCATCCTCCCTACAGTTTATCAGTAAATATCAAGTCTGAATATGTAGACAGACAAAAAAGATGATCATAATAACTTGAGAATACATGAGATTTAAATGGTGGGAGAGAAAGAAAATGATAGAGAAAAGAAAGAATGAGTTGTAAAAACAAAAACATGAGTTTTTTATTCATACACTGAACTTACCCAAGCAATCTTTATTTATTCATGATCATATTGCATAATGGGTGAACAAGCAGTTTTGTGTTTGTCGGTATAATTCGTCGAAGGAAATCGAAATGGACGGGCAAATAAAGAAAATAAACAAGGAAATTATAATAATAACGTTAATAATAATATTAACAGTATCTATTTATGTATTAATAATAATCATAGTAAATAAGCGAAAACCTTTCTTTCCCGAAGGAAGGTGACAAGCAGTATTAGGTGAATTTGTAAATTTCCGTAGAAGGACTCTTCAGCTGAATACTCCTTTACAAACATTGTTATTTATACAATTCTGTCATAAGGTTGAATACATGCAAGCACATGAACATTTTGACAGCGAGGAACCTTTGTAATTGCAAACCTAGTTTGGAACTCATCGGTGGTACGCACAGACTAGGGTTGGAACCCAGGACCTTCCGAATACAAGGCAAGTTCATATACCATTCAGCCACTGAGACCCAACTTAATGGCCCATGAATTCCAACTTCTACCAATTCATGATTTTTAGCGTGACCACCAATCAATGCCATCCGAGAGCTTACCTTGTAACCGGAAGGTTCTTGGTTCGAAACCCAGTGGATGGATGTTGGTGATGCGTCCCAGACCAGGATGAACCAGCTGGTTTTCAATATTTTTGTAACTAATATCAATCTGCGGTCTAACTCGAAAAACAAATCTAATCCTTATAAATCAACTCTTAAAAACTAAGTTTATTATAGGTAAACCATATAAGACCAAATAACAAGAATAAACATGTCTGATCTGAGCTCATAAGATTGTTTGAACACTCCTCACCGAGATTACTGCTCAACTATCATTTTTCGATTCTCACATATCCTGAGAAAACTAATTGTAATAATAGAAGAAATCATTTTGTTTGATTGATTGGTTGGAGGATTTCATCGTGAGATGACATCAGTTAGCGAACCATTGGAAAACCTTCAGGTAGTACCTGACAGCAATTTCCTCCATTTCAGTTTGGGACTCTTCATTGGTACGCATCCGCCGGGGCTAGAACCCACGACCTTCTGGTTAAAAGGCGAGCTACCTCGTAGACCATTAAGCCACTGGCACCCGATCCAACGGCCAGTCAGTGAAATAGCGCGACCACTTCGCAGTGTCTCCTTTGGTGTGTTACTGCACCCCATTGGTCACGGCTTCCCACTAAAACCCCAGGTTAACTGCCTGAATAGGGCCAGTCGCCAGTGAGCATCATATCGATTTTCAAGTATCGGTTCTTGTATGGATTTCGTTTGATTGATCGGAGGATTTCATGGGCCGTTGTATTGGGTCCCAATGACTTAATGGCCTTCGAGCTCACCTTGTAACCAGAAGGTCCCGGGTTCAAACTGATGAAAAGTCCAAAACTAGGACGAAACAGCTGTTCAGTACTCCAAGGTTTTCCAGGGGTTCTCTAACCGATGTCAGCTCATGATGAAATCTTCCAACCAAAGAAAAAAAATATTTTAAAGAGAAGGGAGAAGCGCGGGAAAATTGTGTAGGTAAAGTAAAAGTATGCTACCAGGGTAGATTTGAGCACAGAGGTGCGGTTTCTTTAATCTGATTGCATTGGTTTTAGTAAAACCAAGAGGCAGTCTATTAACTAGCTTATCAATAACTATAAAGCTTTTACTCAACGTCAACGTATGACCACGGTCCAATAAATGTGATGTGACTGAGCACCTTGGGATGCCATCATGAGTAGTATATAGTAAATAACCAATACAATAGTTAATTTGAACGCTCTTAAATCATCAGTGATAATGTACCTTAAAGACATGTTAGTCAGAACAACCTGTTTTATGAGTTCAACTCAGTTTATTGGTCTACTAAACTAAATTAAAATAATTTCAGAGCTTAGTGATATCACTTTGAAACGTGTTTCTTGAAGTATTCGTAGCTGAATACCAAAATCCGGTAAACAAAGAATTTCAGTCTCGACTTGTATGAACTTTGTGGTTTCTCGCTATGTGACTTCAATGGGCAGGAATGATCGCTCTCTGCTGGCCCGTCAGCTCCTAGTACAAATGTCTTAATGACGTCTCAAGTTTAAATTGGTGTTATTTAGAGTTTCCACTGAGAATGGAGTCTTAAACAAGTAACATTATGTTTACTCAGATTACATGAGTATTAACATCTGACTTCTAATACCTAGGAACTGAAGCTCGCTTCTGTCAGTCATCACATGTCTATTATACGATCGTTTCCATTGCTTCTAGATTAATGTTCAGGTGATCAGAGAAGTCATTTCTGAAAGGATGGAAACAATTTTTACCTCAAGTGGATGGTTTCAGTGTGATTATTTTCTCAGGGCATGGTGGCTAAGCTGCAAGAATTTTACCCTTCTTCTAAATGACATCTTCAAATGTAACTTATCTGAAGTTTGTTATTCTCTTCATCAAATCTTCAATTTTATGATAAAATTGGCCTTGACAATGTTGTCGAGAATGCTAGTGAATCATTCATCGTCATTTAATCATCCAACTCAGAGGAGATGAAAACAACAGACTGTAATGGCTCAGGTTGAAATCCTGTAACCAATCAACCAAATCCCTACGAACCAATACTTGAAAATTATTCTGATGCTCACCAGTGACTGACCCTATTCAGGCACTTACCTGGGGTTCTAGTGGGAAGCCGTGGCCAGTAGGGTGCAGCTAGTTAAAGGTGAGGCAATAACACACCGCGCTATTTCATGAGTTGGCAGAAGTTGGAGTTAATGGACTGGCCATTGGATCGGGTGCCAGTGGCTTAATGGTCTACGAGGTAGCTCGCCTTGTAGCCAGGAGGTCGTGGGTTCTAACACTGGTGTGTGCGTACTGATAGAAAGTTCCAAACCAGGACCAAACAGATGAAATCCTTAAAGGTTTTCAAATGGTTCGCTAACTGACGTCAGCTCACGATGAAATCCTGTAACCAATCAAACAGAATCCCTACAAACCAATACTTACATGTAATGGACAAATTGCTTGGAAAATCTCTCTTGGACGATCTATGTATACTAGATTTTGTTTTTAGATTTTTGATTACAGCCTGATTCCACACCGTATTTTTTTGGTACAGGTATGGAATTTTCAGCATGTGATATCGGTAGCCCAAATTTTGCAGGCCGACCATAGATATCAGATACTAATTACACTTATTCAGACGTTTCAATTATTTTTGTATTTATTATACGTTTTACTCTAGATTGTGTGTCTTTAATCTGACATTTCATACCACAGGTTGATTCTGACCTTTGTTTGCAATGCTTTTGTTTAATGTTGTGTGTACATTGATAACGTGTTGTTTAAGAATGTGAGTTTGTTTGAGTGAATGAAGGTGATTCTGATACGGGACTTTAAAGTTGAATTTTGATTAACTAACTTTTTTCTTATAGTACTTGTTTTGTATTTAGAAACCTCCATTGCCTGTATAGCTACCTGACTCACAGCATTGTTGAGGTCAGTTTGAGTTTTGATGTTAATATTATTTATTAGAACTTCTAAAATATTGATGAATGATAGTCTTTTCCTTGCCTTTGAAAAGTTTCGTGATATAGCGTGTCTCAACAAAGTTTTGTTGGCTATACGGTAGAATGTAGAGATAGTTTTCATGCTTCCAAACCAAAACCGAATAAGTCTGGTCGCTACGCAGTCCAAGGTGGTGCCAGTAATCAATTCCCTCCTGAATGTGAACTGCAAAACTGTAGGAAAGGCAAAAGTGCAGAACATATCAACTCTTCATTGGCGTTTAGCTTTATATATATACTTGTATGGATCAATCCTTCTCATTCGCTGTCATCTGAATCATTAGAATCGACATAATAAAGTACTGGAAGTGCTTTAAAAAATGAAAATTTAAAGGTACTAAGCAGAAAAGCTAATCTTCTTCTCTTTTACCTGTTTAATTTCTTCTATGAACAGCGTGATTACCCATGCAATGACAATATACTCAACAACTGTTATATTGATCCTGAAATCCACCAGTAAAAGATAACTGAACAAGATGAGAAATGTCATATAAGAAAGCTGAAAAAGAAAAGAAAAAGGCAAAAAGACAAAACAAAATGAGATAGACAAACAAGTAATATAATCATGTCTAATCTTTGAATGTTACGCATGTCAACTTCTGAGTAAATAATCCTTCACACGGGTGATAAGGTGGATGTCGCAAGATTGTTCAAACTTATCAATAGTCAAAAGAGTTCAACTCTCCTTAAGTTTACTGAAGCAGTCACTATCAGGCGCGGGAAACCCGATTTATGCATGTGTTCAGAAAGAAGTGGTTCTCAGTCTTTCCTCGCCCATCCTGGTAACTGGATGTTTTCATCCTCTTCTACATATGATTACGTAACGCCGAAAGATTCCATTGTGTATGATTATCATTAGCATTGTATGCATATATTGATTGGTTTTTGTTTAAACCTGAACTGTCTGAGCAAGCATGCTAAAATTGTTTCTGTAGATAAACTTGAAAATGTCTTTGAGCTACAAGCAGCTGATGAGAAGCTGGGGAAATAAATGATAGTACCATTTTGTTCTGCACAAACTGTTGCTCTTGCTTTATTCAAATTAAATAATCTAACTTTGGAATTTCATTCTTCGATTTAGCCATCATAATTTCAAGTTTAGGGAGAAGAAACACACACAACAAACTCAACAACAAGGGCAACGACATTATGAGAATGGTAAATAAAAGATTAAGCACAGCCTTGTCCAGGACGTATCCTGCAGCATCATTAGTCTCTCTACCCCGAACAACCCCCTTACTTGTGCAGTCAAAGATTGACAAGTACCCATCACATGTTACCTCAAATTATGTATACCACTTCACATGTATCTGCGGGAGCAGTTACATAGGAAGAACACAGAGGAGGGTCTACGTCAGATTCTGTGAACATGTACCAAGGAGCCGCCGGTTAAAGGGACAGAATTGTTTAAGCTCTTCAATCGTCAAACACCTGATTAACACAGGAAACCGAGTAGATGTGCTGGAGTCATTCACGTCTTCTCAGGTTTGCTGAAGCGATAGCAATAAAACGATTGAAGCCTGACTTATGTGTCCAAAAAAATCCATTGTTGGACTTCAATTACCCTGGTGACTCACGTCTTAGTAACTATTTGTTTTCTAATTTTGTTAACTTATCTTTTCACTTCCCCTTTTATTTTTCGCTTGACTCTCTTAAGAGATAATTTTTCTTGATCTTCTCAGTTCTGCTCACTGTATTACATCATCAACTTCTAATCTGACCTCATGTGCACCAAAAACGTTTGACCTTCTCTTATCCAGTTATGTAACTATTACTAATTGTTTTTTGTTACCACCCCAACAACACAGATGTTAATTAATTTTTTTAAAGAAACTTCCCTCTAACAAGATATATATATGTCGTAAAACTTTTGACGCCTTGTAAATCGCAACGCCTTATTTCACTATGACACTCTAACAATATGTTTGCTAGTGGACAAAAGTTTGTTAAAATTGTACACTTTTTATTATATTAAAGAATTCAGGTTGTACGCAGATGACGAGAAGCGACGAAATAAAATGGATCCAGATTATTCTGCGCCAATGTTTCTTCTTTCTTTGTTCAAAAAGAACACTGCCAAGAGGATACTTTACACGCTACAATTTCTAATGGAAAAAGACTAATGGACCACGAAAAGCACTTCTTATGCGATGAGTTGCATCTAGAACTTCTTATCTATATTTGTGATTTCTTGGTGATAAATCATGCTGTTCATCGGTAGAATACTCCCCAATCACTCCTCACGTTGTTCAGTTTTGATCCCCAGCTGATGCACTGGTAAACATCACTTCAACCCGCAATGTAGCACAGTTAGGCGTGACGTTAGCAACCCCACCTCTTAATAAAAAACGGTAAATACCACTGCTACTGAAATTTAGAAGTCCAAGCTCGAAGCTCTTTGTTCCACTTATAACTTACAGGATTAAAATTTAAAGAAACAAATGAAAAAAATCTAAACTATATCGGTTAGTCTCATTTCGGTTCGTGATCTCCTTGAATGAAAACCCCAATAATCCTAATTGACAAGTCTCATGTTGGACGAATTGTGCGTCAAGGAATATACCTACTTCTACCAACCAGCAAAACAAGTAACCTTAAGATATTCATTCTAATAATATTGATGCACTCAATTAAGCAGCCCATATACCAAAGTGGGATTGACCAGTTCAGTTCAAATACATCAACAGAACCATCGGTGTTTCAGCGATAGGGCACCGGTCGACCAAAGACGTGGTATGGGGTTATAGTCACGGCCGACTCACACCTTTACCTCCCTTAGCCGGTTACAATCCCGGCAAAAAATAAGGTTGGGCATGAGACCAGCAACCCCACCCCGTAAAACCGCCAATGCTACTGCGGATTCGAAACTAAAGCTTGAGGCCCTACAACAAACATGAATGGGTAATGGGTGCTCCTGTTGAAGCCTTTCTGACAAGTAGTCACCTCAGTTACTATTTTGTTCCTTTGCCACCTTCACTCAGCTTGTGATGTTCAATTTTTTATTTGGAAGTATTTTTTGTTTGAGTGATATCTGTTGTCTCTTCAGACCTATGAACTACTCAAACGAATGCTAAAAACGCACTTTTGAATTCATTTTCATACCTTAGTCCTGATGGGGACTAGAAAAGACTTGGGCGTTTAAAAGCTAGACATAAGGTTCATCGCTAAATGATGGGTGATGACTAGCACTGGAATCCAGGATGCTCATTTCGTCCTTTCTGGGACTAGTTGGCTGGATGTACCTGCATTTCTCAGTGAGTGATGATGTTCCCACCGACGCTCGAACCCAGTGCCCGTAGTTCCAAACGCCAAAGCGTTGTCCACTAGACCACTTGGACCACGACAGTCACATGTTGTGCAATGGTTCTTATTAAATATTTAATTCATTTCAAATTTTTCCGTCGAATGACTGGACCTTCCACTATCTACTAATTGACTTCTAGTTACATGACCAGATATTGTCGAAGCATCTGCACAAGGGGAGCAAGCACTTCGGTCTGATCAATCGAAGGTAGAATCTAAAGTGAATTAAATAAGGTTCATGGTCTCAATAAGAACTTTATTACATACGGCAATACACTGAGACATACCTACCTGATGAATATCAAAAGTGGTATACTCTAATAGTCATACATTTTTCAGAAAGTTTATATGTAACTAAGGCTGAACATCTCCGTCCAGTAGACCAAATATTACTCAATAAGTAATATGTGCATTGATTAGCCCTTTAGAGGACAGTTTTGCTAGTCAGAGATTTATTCTACTGACTGTTAATGCGGTAGTCAGATGATGAGATAAAGTGAACTTAAGATAGGTGCTATCATGAATGTATTATAGAAAAAGCATTAATATGAGAAAAGAGAACACTTGAACTTACAGTATTATACACAAAACGAATAACAGGTGCCATATAGAAATCACGAATCTGTGAAATAAATTCTAATGTTCTAACTTTAAGGGTTTTACGTACACTGAAAATGAAGTGAAAAGAGCAAAAGAATTATATCGAAACTACTTAAATTGTTTATTGTGATATAATGAGTAGTAAAGATAAGAAAAAACTATATGGTTTTCGGTTGATGCAACTTTCTTATCCTCACGGCTTATTCGAAGGCTCTGTATCATTACCCCAGTTAAGTTACGATCAGTAATTAAAGACTACTCCAAATGCCTGTCAAAAAAATAGTGTTTTGAACTATTTGCATTGTAGATGGACAAATGAACTGACTATCTGTCTCTCGACTGTTATTCCAATCAACCTCAGCTTCCAGGGGTCGTTGTTTACTATAAATCCAAATAGGTGTGTGCTATTACTTATCGACTATAGGCGACACAGATGCGGGTGTTATAACCAATTGGGATCGGAAAGGAAAGGCACACCTTCACCACTCTGAGATTAGTTTCCAAATCTTCTGCACTCAGTACAGAGTACAAGATTCAGATTTTCAGCACCAATGGTAAGTCACTCGCTTTTTCTATATAGGTCAGAATCTTGGCCGGTGTGTTACAGAAAGCATTTCTAACAACCTACTACAGACTTTTTCCCAATATCTGCCTTCCCCAGCTGCATATTCAAACAAGGATCTTTGAGAGCGAACCAACTAAAAAACCTATTGCTGAGAAAATATTCCGGAAATGGAGATGGGTCAAACACATGCCACTGAGAAGGCCATCGACTGACATCACCTGCCAGGCCACCGCTTGAGTGGAACCCAAAGGGGAAAGGGCATACTGGGAGTGTGTTACGAGGGTAACATGCAGGAGATCATGCATATATATATCGCATTTACAGAAGTCAGTATTGATAGGACATTGGATCCAATCCCTGTGGCTGAGTGGTCAACAAGCTAGCGTTCGAACCCTCGTGATGTTATGCGTGCATACTGCCGAAGAATCCCAAACAAGGATGAAACAGACGTTTCGAACTAACTGGTTTCCGATGGTGCTATCACTGAAGTCAGTTAGTCATTAATCGTGAAAACAACTCAGATTTATGGACAATGTACACAGATTTGAAAAATCAAAAGAGAAATGTCTGTTTGAAATGGTTTTCATAGGGCGTTAACTGTGTTTCTAAAGTTGACTGGTACTACAAAGTAAAGTACAAATATCAAATTCATTAATTACTTGTTAACTTACCCTTTTTTACCAGCATCTTCTACATTTGTATATGTTGAAATATGATCATGTGCAGATGCATGATGTTCAGAAGCAGCAACGGATTCCTAGAGGTCAGTGAAAAATACACTTTGTTATATTCAATTAAATAAACATAAAGAAGACATGAACATAACCTACGGAAGTGAACAGTCCCTAAGATGAATACACTTTTCTGAATATAGCCTGATTCCACACCGTATTATTGGTACAAGTATGGAGTTTTCATCATGGGATATTAGTAGTCCAAATTTTGTAGGCCGACCCATTGATATCAGGTGTGTGTCGGCAGGGGATCGAATCCCGGGCCATGTGCGTGGTCGGCGAGATTCCTATCCGCTGTGCCACCGACGCACTACCCTAATAACTTGTAGATCAGCTTAATGATACTGATGTTGTTATGTTCTTTAAACTGTATAGTTTAATGGCTAAGCTTTCATTATCCTTCTAGACACCATATCTAGTGCTAACGTCAGAATGGAGAAGCATACAGTAACACCACTATGACAATACATATTACTTACGCTATCTTTACTAGTACAGACATGTCAATAATTCACTACTAAACACGATTATCGGTGAGTTGATGTCTCAGCGATACCAGTAAGTCAATCAACAGTTGAATATGAGGGTTAGCCGCAGTTACATTTTTCAAAGCGAAATTATTGATACCACAATCCATGATCTGTTTGATGCCATAAATAGAAATATTGCAGTGTTAGACGGTTGGAGGCAATCGGCCATAGGAAGCCTTACACCTAGGTTTCGTGCTAGTCGGCACTCACCAGTCAGCAAGGCGTATCTGCAACCTCGAAGGAGCCCTTCTGAGATTCGTACCCACGTCACCCAATACGGTAGTCACAGACATTACCAATGAGCCATTCGGGCTCGTGATTGACCTCCTGTAGGGCTGCCTGCAACCATCTTTTATTATCAAATCAATGTGCACCGTGATAGCGAGCTCCCTAGAATGGTGGCCACATTGCAAAGTTGACTGATAGAATTCAGTCTGCATCAAAGAAAAGACTAGACACATCACACTAGTTACTAGTGTTCAATTAAAATATTGCAGTGTGCTATATGCTGATCTAGTTCCTCGAGTTGGATCGAAATGGGTACAGAACCAGTGGAAATGCAGCCTGGTGTTTTAATCAACTTAATCTAGTTGTCATGCTCTACTTGTTGCCATGAGTAGTTTTCAACTACTTAGTTCACTTCAGTAGTATATAACATCGGACTAATCGATCTAAGAGTGTATGGCTTCTGAAAACAGTCAATTAAAATCAATATGGCTTAGACAGATCGATTATTTCTCATACACCTGATAAATTCTATGTGCTTATTTTGTTTTAAAGAAGTTCTTTTTCCATGAAAGACACCGTGGAAAGTATCAGAACGAACAATTCATTGTAACATTTGTTTGGTGGTGATGGTTACTACAGGGTCCAGAATGAGCTTTCAACTCACTTAAAATTCTTTACGGCAATGGACCTTCACCTTGGTGCACACGAGACTTGTGACATACAGAATTGACTCAAAAGTGTAGCTCTATCCACCAGACTGCCTAAATAGATTGATTCAAGTATAGTTAATGCACCATGATGTATTCTGGTGATTTGAAGTCAGCACACAAGAATTACTGTACATCTATAAGTGAATAATTTCATCAATACACGTCTTCTCTCGAAAGTGAAGACCTGAAGGTGGTTCAAGAATGGATAAATGACAAGAAAATGTATCAGAAAGTCCACCACCAACATGTTTTTAGGAGGACATCGGGATGCATTGAACATCACTTCAAGAAGACCTTCAAGACATTACATGCTGGGTCACCGAAAGGAAACCAAATGAGAAGAAGTATAAAGATCAACCTTATTCAAAACGCTTAACTTTTATAGATCGCGCATACAAGAACCACTGAGGTGAAGCGGAGTTTGAACTGTCTGGCAGCCAAGAAATTCAGCAGAACATGAAGACTGATGATATGATTTTAGAATAAAAACAATGCTATTAAACAAACTCGTTCACACAAGATCTGATTCAGTACATGAAGAAAGGTGTCTTTATAAAATCTTTCTCTTAGTACGTCGATTACATTATGAAAATAAGAGGTGAGAAGATAAGAATATAAAAATTTGGAGGTATTTCATTAGCGATATAGAATTCATTTGCTTACCTCTCCTTCAACTGTATGACCAGATTTTGGTTTGGATAGGATGATTTTCGGGATTAGAAATGGTAATGTCAAACCACAAACGATTCCCAGAAAATACTATACAATATCAAGAGAAAAAGGATAAAATATAAAAGCAGTTATTGAACAATACATAAATGAAAACCAATATGAACAATACTGAGATGTATTGAAATAAGAAATCATGAGAACTGTACCATTATTCGGTTCCTGAAAGGCATGCTTTTTCTTTCACGTTCCCCAGTGGAACATAAGGCTCCAAGCTAGTGGCTTGAAGTTTTTGTAGCAGTGTTTATTTTACAGGATCGGGTTGCTAGCCTGATGCCCAACCTTTCCTCATCACCAGCATTATTTCTGGCTTAGCGAGGTAAAGGAGTGCGTCGGCCGGGGATCGAACCCATGACCATGTGCATGGTCGGCGAGCGTCCTAACAGCTATACCACCGACGCACGACATTGGAAATAGGGGACATTTATTCCCAAATATAAATTTAAAACAAGCAACAAATGGTAATAAAACAGGATTTTTGATGAATTGATCAAACTTTAGTAGAACTTCTCTGATGAATACTCTCCATACAGTCCTACTTGTACTATAAGAAACATATAAGCAGATATGTGACTAATAAATGAGCCCCAATAACCGAATAATGACGAAACAAGAGGTGAAAATGTTTTGCAAATCGAATTCAGCCTACAAAATACACTTACTGTAAGGCATTGCATTTATCAAATGTGTACAGGCAGTTATCATGAATGATTTTAAGTCATTCCTCATTAGAATCTGGTGATTATAAATGGCTGAACATACTTTCACTTATCTGAAGTTAAACAGAGACGTATTCAGAATAACTCAACTCATGCATGAGAATCGTTTCAAGAGTTCTTTTAACTAGGGGAGTCACTGAAAACAACCATTTAAAAGATGAAAGCAATACACATTCATGGTATAATGAGGAGTGCAGCTTATGAGAGCTCAATAGGTGATAATTTGATCACTGTGTTACTGCGCTAATAATGGTCAATGTCGTCAACCTTTTCTACAAAGTGGATGGAAGCCCCATCAATGTCTATGACAGTAAGAATGAAAATAAACCTAGCAGAATAACAAACACTATGGGATGAATTAAACTAATTTCATTTTGTTTACTTTGAAGTCTCGAAAATCCTATCTCTGGACATAACATCGTTATTCACAAATGTACCTCTAATAGAAACAGTTAATTATAATTGCCATTCAACGAAATATCGCGTTTCTCTCAAAGAAGAAAAATGAAGAGATATCATATTGATGGATTGGTTTCCACTTCAGGTCGTATAGAAGGAATTGTGTCACACAATCTATTGTCAATTAATATTCTCAAGTATTGGTTTTGTAGGGATTTTGTTTGATTGCATCGAGGATTTCATCATGAGCTGACATCAGTTAGTGAACCATTGGAAAACCTGAGAGTACTGGACAGCTGTTCCGTCCTAGTTTGGGACTCTCCATCAGTATGCACCCATCGGGATTCGAACCCAAGACCTGGTTACAAGACGAGCTCGTAGACCATTGAGCCACTGGGACCCGATCCAATGATCCTTGAATTCTAACTTCTGCCAATTCACGACATAGCGTGACCATTTCGCAATGTCTTCTTCGGTGCGTTTCTGCTTCATCTTCAACCTGCTGTACTCTACCCTAATCGGTGGTGCGTACTGATGATGAGTACCTAACTAGGATGAAACAGCTGTCCAGTACTCCCAGGCCTTCCGTCGTTCTCTAACTGATGTCAGCTCATGATGAAATCCTCCATGCTATTAATATTGTGTTTGCAGATCGTGGACGAAGAGAAATGATCATGGAATAAACTCCACTGAAAATTCTGTACATCATATAAACACTGTTTACAATAAAGCTGTTATTATTATGTGTGGATTACGACCTTATTAACACGTACATGTAAAAGTACAAACTGTCATTAGCATAATAAATCATAATAAAAGTTTAAGAAAATAAGAGAAATTAATAATCATTTTCAAGAGTCGATTTGTAAAGATTTGATTTGTATCGCGAGTTAGACCACAGATTGAAACCAATTAAAGAACCATAGAAAACCAGATGGGACTACTGGGCAACTGTCTCATCCTAGTTTGGCACTCATTGGTAGTACGCATCCGCTGGGTATCCAAAAGACGACCTGCTGATCACAAGGCAAGTTTGTAAACCCTCCAACAATCGGAAACCGACACAATGGTCCATGAATTCTAACTCTTACCTGGTGGTCTCGCTAAAAATCCCGAATTGGTAGAAGATAGAAACTATCGGTAGGGCTAGTGGGGTTTCATTAAACCACCTCATACAAGAAACTAACGAGAATTATCTTGTCAAATTCTGAGCATCTTCAGTATACACCACTCTCTCCATGCATCTTAACAGGTATGTGGAACTAGAAGTAACAATAGAAGACTTTATGCTCGGACAACTAAGTATAAAAATTGCATCATATCTTATTTAAAACAAATTTTATGTGGTAAGTCATGAAACTACTAATTTACTGAGAAACACTAAGTAAACGATATTTTTTATTCTCTCCTTCATTAATACACTGTTGTTAATATTTTCGCTTAAATTTTAATTTTATGTTCATACCCTTTTGAACAACATTATCAGCGCAAATGCCCTGTTTAAATATGTCACCTTGTATTACGTAGGGAGAAAATTAGCTACAATATGGTGCTGAAGATTCCACATTGTATCGCATGTACTGTTTAGAATAAAGCCTCTGACATGATATTCAGACTCAGTGTAGGATGAAACCAGCCATCGGTCAAGACTGTAGTCGGGGAAAAATTACATGGGACATTAGGAAAATGACAGATCACTACATCGCTTTCAAAACATTCCAATAGTATCATCCATTATACATTAGATGCTCTTTTTCTCCTGGTTTTCTGCTGCTCTTTAAGTTCTGTTAATATATGTGTAAAACTGGGCACTGTGGTAGTAAGTAATTCCATATTAGTTTATTAGATATATCACACAGTGTGAAACAGTATTATTTACTGGATGACGTTTCGAACAAAATTTATTGTTCATAATCATATCAATTGCAATCACACGACTTTGACACTTGAGTTTTATATATTTTTTGTTCTCTCCTATTTGTCGTAAAGGGTAGTAGAATTTTCCACATGCCTAAGTTGGCGGGTTTTGAATCATTCCTACTGCACGTATTTTCAGTTGATTAGATAAACAAAGCTCCCCTTATCAATCTCCCCCTCCACCCTGTGACATTAGATTTCAAAACTGTCATCTTATCTCCTCCTATTTCAGAGTTGTGTGTAATTGCATGCAGTGAGTCCCATGGCTGAACTATTTTCCAGATTTCTTATCTTATTCGGGTCAACCAATCTAGATTTTGCTAGGTTTTCGTGCTCGGGTAGTCTGACTGACTGACCCTGTTCCACTAGTTTGACCTATGCATTTGACCTGACAGTTATTGTAGGGTATTAAATAAACTGAATTGTTTTGTTTTAAAGGCTCTACAGGATCCTTTAACCAACAAAGCTTGTTTCTAATTGAGTTTGTGGGTCTGATTGCTACTTTTATTCCTGTTCTGTTAAGAATTCTGCGTTAGGTTTCCGAGGTTCCTTCCTTGTATGGAATTACTACTGATGATTTAGATTCCTTATTATTGGTATTGTCTTGCGCATATTTGACATGCATGTCGTCATTAACATTGTTATTATTATTATTATCACTATCACTACTAACATTATTTATTTTATTTTTACATTTCCCTACATACTTCCTGATTAATTTATCAGGGTAATTATTAAGTTTCAAAGCTTCTCTTATATGCCTCATCTCCTGTCTTAGATTTTCCTTGGTACTACTTAGTTTTTGTGCTCTATTACCTAAACACTTCACCACTCCTAATTTTACTGGCATAGAGTGAGATGTTCGGAAATCTAAATATCTGTTTGAATAATTAGTTTCGGTAATAAAAGCTTCGAGTCAACTGCCAACACGTGTAATACGGATGATTCAACACCTGTCCAGTCGGACATGTGGATATTCTACTACTCCTACGACAAATAGGAGAGAACAAAGAAAACTATAAAGCTCAATTTCTGAAGTGGTGCGATTATAATTGATATGATTATGAACGATAATGGACTGTGTTCGAAACTTTTTCATCCAGTAAATAATACAGTTTCACACTAATATGGAGCTCCTTAAGCTCCTTTGAGTGTTTAAACTTCCTTCGCATATCTCTTCCTCAGCGGTTTCTCAGCTGATGCATAAATCGTCACTGATCTTCAGGAGACGCGATTCTACGTACTATTTATATATGTTTATAAGTAGCACATGGCATGATAGCACCGTAGTCAGGCGTTTCAAAACGTAGCATGAATTTTAAATCTAAAATGTACAAATATTAGTGACAACCAAAGAAGACGCATCATGATGACTGAGTGCCCGACACCTAAAGCTGTCCTCAAGGGCATAAAACTAAACCTCAGGACATTAAATTTTGGTTGACACAGCCGGTAGATGACGGAAGGAGCCTCCTTTTGAAATGTTTGTTATGTTTGTTGATTGTCTGTTGGTAGTGGAACCCAAGGTGTGCATTTCACCTAATTTGGGACTCACTGACAAGATGTACCTGCATCCGTCGTGGCTGATGATGTATTCACTGAGATTTGAACGCTTATTGGTCAGCGGAGAGACAACAAGAGCATTCCTGTTCAATATATTTACTCTACAGGAAATATAAATTAAAATAAATAAATAATATTTTCCTAACTCTGCTCATCAGAATGGAACAAAATTCAGGGTAGTAACTTCTACAAATCAAAATGAAATTACCCGAAATACACTATTCTTTGTTGACAGATTACCACTCCATGTATTGGTAAGAAAATCTTGACAGCATGGATGTGCCATAAATTTAATACTTTGCCCTTCAGCAGCTAATTTAATCACTGAACTACGACCATAATAGATTAATTCATGATTAATGATCAACTGTGTACGATGTTCATCCTCTCGATAACATTCATTCAATACACCTTCTGCACGTTCTTGGAAATTCCTATTCAACAAAAGAAAAAATAAGGTGGAACGTTCAGATTTTAAGATTCATTGGATGTTTTTGTAGGCTACGGGAATAAAATAGGTTATTTACTAGAATCAGAAAAGAAGACCCCATTTTACAAACTGAATTACACTATTCGCAAAAACAGTCAATGAGGAGACCTTCTTTTTTACTGAATTCAAAGTTACCCAGGTTATCTGGTTAGTCAAATAACCTTTGAAAGCATATTAATAGTAACTGAGAATGGTTAGATAACCATTGAAAACCAGCTGGGAGTACTGGGCAGTTGTTTTGTTCTAGTTTGGGGCTCGTCGGCAGTACCTACTCACAGGTTTTCGAACCCAGGACCTTTCGATTACACGGTAAACTCGTAGGACATCTAGCCCCTGGGACCTAATTCAATCTCCAGCACATGAATTCCAACTTCTACCAATTTGTGATTTTAGCACCACAGGCAGCCACTGTCATCACTGGTGAGTATTTGTCTTCACTTCCGACTGGATGAACCCAACTAGTCATGACTTCTGAGTAGAACTCCAGGCAATTTCTTACTGTAAGCAGTCACTAGCGGACACCTCTACTGGATGTAAATGTGCTCTTAGTGACTGATGGTGTCCTCAATGAAACTCGTACTCACCAATCATCGTTTAAAATCCCAGAGTGTTATTCACCAGGTAACAGGAGCTATCACTTGTAAAACCGGCATTAGTGATTATCTGTTGATATGTAAACATATACTGAGCATTTACGTCCAATAAACCAGCTCAAAGGAATTCCAGAAATAATGACATTAATAAATCATTCAAAAGCCTGAAACCCGATTTATTTGTACATAAAAAAGCAGTTATCAATATTTCCCTGCCCTGGTTAGTGACTGGTTGTTTTCATCCTCTCTTCCATTTGATTACGTAATTATTAGCTTCAACCTCACGCCCGTCACTTTTGACATAGTGTAATTTTGCTTGTCTCTTGTTTCTATGATTTGAGTTGAACTCAGTACATTGTTGCCTAATTTATTAGTCAGTCATCATCTTGCGCATCTCTCATCTTTATTACGTAACTCCTTTACCATTGTATGCGTAGAATTAATTTATTTAAACTTGAATCCGTGAGCAAGAACTATATAAGCGTAATTTTCTAAGCACGGTTCACTAAGTCCAGAGTCTGCTGTCAACTGATATCAGGTGAAATTCGCAAATATGTTAAAACCTTTGTGTACATGAACTTAATCATAATTTATTTAGGCTGTCAGCATCTGATGAGAGGTCAACGAAATAAATGATAGTCCCACCTTATTCTTCAAAAACTGTTGATCTTGCTTTATTTAAATCACTTCTGCTTGTCAACTGGCATCACAGTGTTTTAGGTACTCAGTGATAACTACCAAAATTCTTCTTTTTAACCAAAGGAGTAATTCACACAGTTAATGGTTTCTCAAGGTTAGAAATAGAAAGGCGAATATAATTCGGTAACTTGGAAATAAGTAACGTTAAATGTCTAACCGTTGATACAGCTTTATTTGACGGGCTAACTGACCCAGTAGCTGTCAGTCATTTTCACTGAATATAAGAAGGGTAACAGGTATCGTCAGGAATCCGTGGACCAAGGTTTAGTGTCTGTTAGTAGTTTTGCACAAGATGTGTCTGTAATCTCGGTCAAAATGATGTCCCCTTTGAGACACTGGTTACTTTCTAATAATGAATCAACATATCCATTACGGTCTTAAACGAGATCGAATACATGCCTGAATAAGTTAGTTTTAATGTCTCCGCTATTGGGTAACAGGTGTTGAGTATTCAAATCTCCAGCAGAATATCCGTTTTATACGATATTTCCGGTCCTTTTTGCTGACGAGTATCAGTAAGCAAGTAATCTAGTTTCAAAGTCTTCAGCCAATTTCTTCAAACCATCAGAAGAGAATTTTCCATTAAATGGCCATTTCAAGCAATCATTTGAAAGCCCGAAAACTAATATTTACTGGACCACAAATGGCAGTAGACAAAGCAGAATCTCGTGTGATCTAATCTCTTATTTCAAAATCGGTCATCCAAATGGTAAGATTAGTTTATTTTTGAATAAAGAATAACTCAAATGGTGTAATTAACAGTATGCAGTGAAATATGGGTTACAGACTGCTATGAGGCTGCTTGCTAATAATACCGGATGACGAGGGTGGTATGTTGGAAATTGATAGGAGTTACGATTCCTGCACTAGTGGATTTCTGTCCAGTTAGTAAATCATAGTGTACATGCCTCCTAGCCTGTAGATCCTCGGTTGGATTTCCCGATGGTATAGTGGATGTGTACTGCTTAAGACTTCTGCAACGGGACGAATGAGCTGTGCAGTACTCCCCATTTTTCGGTAGTCCTCTAGACTCTGTTGATTTCTGAAGAAACCTGCCGTAATATCATTCATTGTATTAATGCATATCAGTGAGAGATTTCATCTTACTCCTAACACATAAATGTACAGGGATTAAAGCATTACGGAAGATATTCAACAATCTTCAGGTGATTCAAATACTTGTAGTCAAAGCATCCAGCAACAATTCAGGTACCATCTCTCAAAGGGATATTAGCACACTAAGCACTTAATTTGCCATCCACCTGACTTCACTTGACCACGAAAAACAGCTGAATTTGAAAAGTTGGGATTATTTGAGTGAAATAAGTAGTGTATCCGGGCAGAATCACAGGATAAAATGAAGGAACAGACTTTTGATTGGACACTAGTTAGTAACTAGTGTAATGTGTCTAGTCCTTTGTTTACTGCAGACTGAATTCTGTCAATCACGTTTGCAATGTGCCCACCATTCTAAGTTGCGAGCCGTCACAGTGCCTCTTGAATTGTTGATATTTTTATGGTTGGAGGCATCGGCAGGAATGTTTCGTGTTAGCTGGGATTCACCAGACATCAAGGCGTATCTGCAGCCTTGCAGGAACTCATATCCCTTCTGAGATTCGAACCCGCGTCTCCATGTGCTGCAGTCGGACACTAGTTACTAACTAGTGTCCAAGCAAAAGTATCCGTTACAGTCCTACAGGAGTTCATTCGTGAGCCCAAATAGTTCACTGGCAACGTCTCTGATTGCAGCACTCACTGGATGACGCAGTTTCGAATCTCAGAAGGGACATGAATTCCTTCGAGGTTGCAGATACGGTTTACTGTCGAGTACCAACCAGAACGAAATATAGGTGCAAGGCTTCCTGCCAACTGCCTCCAACCATCTACGAAGCAACAGACTATAAATGTATTTGAGACTATATAATGATGATATCTAACGTACCATTTATGTATCCAAATTTTTTAAAAAGGCATTCATCATCTTCGTGAGATATATATTCTCCCATAAAACGAAGGAGATTAAACAGGAAAGAAAACAAGACTGGTTTTATCAGCGTCCGAATATATGAATTATTGTTTTCGAAGTGACGCTTTAGCTACGTCCTAAATAGAAGTAGAACCACTAATAGGCTAATTGGCTAGCAATCTTTTTTTATTCCTTCACATTCCCAGTGAAACATAGGGCTTCAAGCTAGAGGCTTGAAGTTTCTGTAGCAGGTTTTATTTTTACAGGATTGGGTTGCTAGCCACATGCCCAACCTTTCCTCTTCACCAGCATTATTTCTGGCTTAGCGAGGTAAAGGAGTGCGTCGGCCGGAGATCAAACCCCGGACCATGTGCATGGTCGGCTAGCGTCCTAACCTCTATGCCACCGACGCACATTGGCTAGCAATGATTGCTGTTGATCACTACTCACAAAATATCCATTTTAGACGAATGAATAGCTACACATTACGGTAAGTCGATACATGGTGAGTATTCTTCATTAACACTAGGAGAAACAGGTGAATACCATTCAAACCGTACAGTTTATTCTTTACAAGAAGAAAAGCCTTAGAAATGATAAAAAGCCAACTTACTTTGCAAAGCTTCTATAATCTTCTTTATCTGTAAAGTCGTCTGTTTTATTCCCCAAAGATGTTAAAAGTATTGAAGCCAGTAAAGCTGCTGCTATAGGTTCCTATTAAAAAATAAGAGGAATATAAAAGAAAGAATATTTCATCAATGAAAGCATTGGAATACTTTTTGTAGTATAATTGAGGCGATGAATCGATAGTTAACAGTGATTGCTAACACGTTACACTTTATCTGATCTTCCAGATGAAACCTTCTGTTATGAAGAATAACTTGAGAGGACATGAATAGTAAGTGAAAACAGCAGTTCTTCTGAAGTTTTTGCTTCTCTTCAGTTACCTGTTGACTTGTTGGGACAAAATTTAGTCAATTTAGCTTAAGAGATTTCAAAAAATGTCTACTTAAAACATTTCTGCCTGACTCCTAGCAAAACAGTAACATAACTGTCATGCTTTTTAGTTGTTTGAACAAACTAAACTTTAACTCTCAAGTTTCCCTTCAAAATTTTAAAGCAATTAGTTCCCTTTATGAATTTCGACAACACAATAAGAAGACGTGTACTTTATCTGAAACGTGTCATGTATTGGCGCAACACATTTCGGACATTCTGATCACACACACGTACTTGTCATACACAGTTTTTATATATAATGCAAGAAGGCATGAATAATTACAATACAGGTCAGATTGTATACAGGTCAAGGTCACAAATAATGGGTAGGGAGACACAAAAGGTATGGGTAAGGAAGATAAAAGGAGAAAAAACAAAGCAAAGAAGAGGTTGAAAATATTAAGAAGTAAGTTGGTCCTTGGTTCTAAATTGGATTACCAAGGCAGGTTTAAGGTGATAACAAATAATTTTTGGACACATAAGACAGGTTTAAGTCTTTTTATGGCTAAGGCTTCAATGAATTTAAGTATGTGGCCCAACCTTGTTTTATATATCGGCTTGAAGGCATTGTTGAAATCAACCTTATGACCCGTCTCTATAATATGCTTGGCTATAGATGATGTTGGACATCTATTTCCGCGTTCAGTTGTGTCTGGCGATTTCATTTGTTGTTGCAGCCACTTTGGAATGTGTTCTGTAGCCTAACCTGCAGAGAACGATGGGTCCTCCCTATGTACGTGTCTCCACATATACATGTAAATTGATAAACACAGTGGGATGTAACACTATCGTTCGTTCTTACCCATATCTTTTGTGTCTCCCTACCCATTATTTGTGACCTTGACTTGTATACAACCTGACCTGAATTGTAATTATTCATGCCTTCTTGCATTATATATAAACTGTGTATGACAAGTGCGTGTGTGATCAGAATGTCCGAAATGTGTTGCGCCAATACATGACACGTTTCAGATAAACTACACGTCTTCTTATTGTGTTGTCGAAATCTCAAGTTTCCATTGCTGTGAACAAGGTAAAAGACTCATCGTAGCAGTCCACTCTGAAATAATATTAGGTAGTTGGACGAAGCTGATAAGATTTCCTGACACCCATCAGAAAGGCATATCTACCAGGCTATTTATTGAACGTATGTCACTCAATACAGCAGTCAGAGAAGCGCAAATTTACCTCTGTCTCTCTTTCATCCCCTCTCTGAGCTTCATCCTCAAACCTCAAACCTCATACTTTAAGGTTTAAATCCGGGGAGGTTATCTACAAGATTGCTGACTTTCGACAACTGCTGCTTTCATAATTCTGTCGTTGTTATTAATGAAGAAACTTTTAAAATAGAATACAAGTCACAATTTGTCGTAAATATTTTTTACATGTTTATCTGGTTCCATCTGAACAGTTCGTAAGCATTGAGTCTTCAGGAAATTTCACATGCTACCTACTCCTTTTTTACATGTCACTGATTGATAAATAAATATATCTTTCAAATCATTGTTCTACCTCTCAGAATGAGCGCACTGTGACTACATTTCGGGTCAGTTTTCTTCGTTAAAATAATTACGTTTCTATGATTTAACTTTTTAACACGTTTCGTTCCCCAAAAGGAACAATTATCTGAACCAGGTAGAAGACTGGTTTATACTTATGGATTTCGACGGACATAACTACTGGTGAAGTGTTCCTTGTCCCTTCTCAGCAAACTTGACGCATGATCTTTACTGGTAGTAAATAATTCCCCATCTCCTCTACTGACGGACAAAAAATCTCCATTTAATGAAATATTGTGTAGTATTGTAGAATACTGTCTAAATTAGATTTTAAAACTCTTTCCATTGCTTTTCATTCCCCGTAGAACATAAGTCTTCAGGCTTCAGCTTTGCAGTATCAGAGGCTGCTAGCCTCACACCCACCCATTTCCTGTTTATCGGACTTACAACTGGCTAAGGGAAGTAAATGTTTGCACAGGTGGGGACTCGAACCCTGTACGGTGTCCAAGTATTTTACCGCTGAACCACGCTAAAAATACTGCCTGTAATGGCAAAATAACAAAAATATTCATCAATGGAAACCTTGAAACCGTCCCTAAAATTCATCTTGTCCCATTGAAATGCAGAGATAAAGCACAATCACATGAAAGTCGAATATTTTTTCCAATTAACAAGACTAACAGACGAAACTTTTAGAATATGATGAAATGAATCAGATGCGGAAATCAATCAATGTTTTGTGGTGGGTGATAAGCAAAGGTGGGAGGAAGATCTGTATTACAGTGGGATTAGAAGCAGTCACGTCGAAACAGAATAGTTCGGCTTCTTACAGCTGAGCCACTGAACCCAGGGGCTAACTAGGTCACTACGAGTAAAAACGAACTTCTATCAATGAAGTTCGCAGCGTAGCCAACATATCTAATTGGCTCAACGTCAAGGTACACTCGAAATTGTTGTTATTAGATGATTGGAGGCATTCAGCAGGAAGCCTTGGGTATAAGTTTCATGCCTGCTGGCACTGGTCAGCTCAGTGATAACATCTCCAACTGCAGAGCTGCGTGACTAGGGTTCGAGTCTCAGAGAGGAAATAAGTTCGTTCAAGATTAGAGATACATCTTGTTGACTGGTGAGTATCGAGATTCACGAAACCCAGATCCGAAGCTTCCTAAAATCAACAGTTCAAAGTGTACTACGAGGATGATTCACCTAGAATGATGACCACATTTCAAAGATGACCGATAGTCAATTCAATCTGCACCAAACGAAGGACTAAACACAATTTGTCAACTCTTGTATCTTACCTATTCTACCTTACTGCTCCCCGTTAGTCTTTCCTGGTCTACTGAAAAAGGACTATACCATCCTGGGAAGGATGTTGAAGGTAGTTAGTAGGACTAGTGGTGTAAAACTCAGTCAGCTCGTCAGTACATTAATTAATAGGTATCTGAATACATGCAGAAAATGGTCTAAAACCATACTCTCCGACCCCCAACACCCCCTATATTCCCAACTCTCGCCTTGTATCTCATCAAGTAAAGCCAGAAATCAGTATAAAATCATCTATGCTCGTACAACCAAGTACAGGAACTCAACGATACCATACTTGGCCCGTGTTCTAAGCGACAGAGACAATGTTAAGCGTGAAACCTATGACTTGCTCTGTTGTTATTAACATAATTTTAGGCTCTTTTATTTCTCTCTTATTTTGTATTCTATAGTGAACTCCTTCTCAAACATACTTAGCTACCTAAATTGTTAACATTGGCTTCCTTTTTTGTACTTTACTGTATTCCTTCTTTTGTGCATCTACTGGTTCCGACTATATTAGTACTATGAGTATTACAAAATTTTCCTGTAATTAACCATCACGTAATTATTAGTTTTGTGGTTGCTTTTTTATATTTTTTATTTTTTTTCGGCAATATTAACTGACAATTACTGGTTGTGAACACCATTATCACCATCTTAAAATGTTGTATTATGCAGGATTACTCACACTACTACTAGAAACACTGCATTAGACCTGACAATAAAAAACAAAACAACAACCCTGAAATGTTATTTTATGATTGTTCAGAGTTGTTTCAACCAAATTAACTGATCAACTTGGCGATAAACATTATTAAACATCATTTCATAACTTATTATATGACTATAGCTTTACTGTCACCATGCATAATCATATCATAGCTTCCACTACCCAATACTGAGTTATTAGTATATGCTGTTTATTTTTCTTTCTACTTCTTGGTATTTTTTCGCATTTTTTAAAAATTATTTTGTATTTTTCCTGTTGTTTTTTGCTGTTGGTGTCTTTATATTTATTTATTTTTTTGAAATATTCCTTTTAAATGTTTGATAAATGTTAGATGCCAATATTGTAGATATGTGCTGAAAATCCCACACTGTACCACTAGTACTGTTTCTGGAATAAAGCAAAATTATTATTATTATTGTTATTATTGATAGTAATTAATATTATACTACTAATAAGTACTATCATTTCGTAGATAATAATAATAGTAATAATTTTAATTACTTTTTCCATTGTCCAAAATAATTCAGCCATACGTAGTTTACCGACCAGAATTGACCAGATTAAAAGTTCTCTAGCTGGACGATCCAACTGAATCGATTTCGTCTGTTCTTCATCTATAGACGTGTGTGTACGTATATATTTATTATGCCCGCCATGCACACATTGCGTTGAAGAAAAGATTTTTTTATTCAAACCGACGGACGGATGACCACGAGTTTTGTTTCATGTGTATATATACCGAAGTTAATCATAAAGCGGAAGCATTGATGCATTGATTGAACAAAAGTATGGCGCGGAGACAAAACAGGACATTGTCAAAGAGAGAAGGAAGAAAATATATGAAGAATAGGTTTAGCATCAAAAAGTGAAAGACAATTCAAGAAAGAATAGGGAAATGGTACAGATTAGTTAAATATACACACTTCAAAACGTTGTTAGCGTAGGAGCATTGAATGTTGTTAGCGGACATTTATACACATACATATACCGAATGTTAGTATGATTATTAATAATAACAATAATTAGGTCGAATCACACGATTAACGAGTTCACTAGCCACTTTAAGCGCCCATTTACAAATGAATACTTTTTAGAATAAAGACATTGACGTGGGAGAACGGGATACAGATGGGTTAATGTTAACACACATACACACACAAGCAGACAAACACACGCAGAAGTACTTAGCAGGGCTGAGGAGACAATGAGAAGGCGAAACTGAGACAAACTGGGCGAAACACGAAATTATGGAAAAACAAAACAAACAAACAAACAACTGTCGATGATTAATGATCGTGCACAAAAATTGCAAAATGATGACTTTGAGATCATCACTTCATTCATCATTTTGTTTCTGAGACACTAGACAGACAAGGAGACAGAGAGTTGAGAGAGAGAGTAAGAGTAAAAGCACACACAGTTGAAAAGCGAAAATTTATGAATTAAGAGACGTCTGATGTTTTTACCATTAGCGTGCATAGTGGAAGGGTATAGCCTTTTTTTTTAACTAGTCACAATGATTAAACACAATAAAAGAAAAGAGGCATAATGAAGGGTGAGATAGAAAGGAAAATTGTCAAGCGTTCGCTTGTCTGTGAGTGTATTATGGAATCGATGCCTATTACGTAATTATACAACATATCAATGCGGAAATGAACAGTCTTCACTTTTGCTTTGTAACACATAATTAAGAATTCAATGATGAAAACATTTGATGCGCACTTCTAATTAATGAGACTGTATTCATAATTTATTTTAGAGGTATTCTATTAAAATGTGTTTTAGTTTTTCATAAATTTTGGTATGCTAAAGGAATAAACAAGCAAAACACTGAAGACAGTTAGACAGGATGATAGAACTTTTGATATTATCAGTTTATAGGGGATTAAAGTTTGTCAGTAAGGTAAGTCGTGTGCCATTTAGTCAGCTTGTTACTGCACTAGTTGATAGACACCTGAACTCACGTGAGAAATGGTCCAAATCGATACTTGGCTGACTGTCAACACCCCTTCTATTCTCAACTCTCCTCGCCTTGTATCTCTTCGGGTAGGACTTGAAGTCATTATAATACGAGGTTATATGCTGGTACAACCAAGTAAAGAAACTCAACGATACGGTATTTCGAGCACTTTTCATGTGATTGAGATAACGTTAAGCGAGAAATCTACGACTTACTACATTCATAAGCAAAATAATCGGCTCTTTTTATCCTCTCCTATTTGTAATCTATGGTGACATCATTTCAGTCAACTTTTAACCTACCTACTAGCTTTATTATCATTATTTCACACTTTTTTTTACATGTCTGAGCTTATTGTCACTGCTAATACCAAAAAGGCTGCGAATATCAATACTGAAATATTATTTTTTTAATATTCGTTTTTCCCGTTGTCGAGTAAATTAGATGAAATATTGTATGAAATGCTGAGAATTCCACACTGTATTACAAGTACTGTTATGCAGTAAAGAGAATCCCTGGCCACATGATTTTATTATGAGCTGACATTGGTCAGAGAACTATTGGAAAACCTTCAGGGAGTAGTGAACAGCTGTTTGGTCCCACTAGTTTGGGACTAGTCAACAGTACGCACCAATCGCCAGGGTTCAAACCCAGGACCTTCCAGTTACAAGGTGAGCTAGCTGATAGACCACTAGGCCACTGGGACCTGACCCAACGGACAGCCCATGAATTCTAGCTTCTGGCAACTCATGATGAAATCCTGTGTCCAATCAATCAAATCCCTACAAACCAATACTTGAATGTGAATCATTACCACTGAAGATAGTAAGACGGGATGAAACAACTTTTGATAATTTTAGTCTATAGATTGTTTTAATCAAATATGAATAACTCTGACAAGAAACATCGTTATTTCTCCCTAAATATGCCAAAAGGTACATATGACTGTAACATATGAAGAATTTCCAGTGACATACTACGTCATTTTGTGACATTAATGGTACGTCCGTAGTTCAGCGATAGAACACTCACTAACTACACCTCACCCGGTCCGGGGTTCGATCCTCGGTCGGCAGACAAACTCTAGGTGAGGCTCGCAATACCACCCCGCAAAAATAAAACCAGTGCTATCGAAACTTCAGAGGTCATCTACCTACAACCAAGGCCATTGGAATCCATCTGAAGAAGTCAGACCTGTGTGTTCAGAGGGACTTCTTGCAGCCAGTTTCTATAACTTAGACATCGGTCGTTACATGGACGTAAATAACTGACAATTTCTTCCCCCCCCCCCAAAGGCTTTAAATCTTTTGTAAGTTATCACTGTCCAGGTCATTTTATTTCCCTGACTGTTTTACCTTCAATTGCTTGTTGCGTAATCGATTTCAACATTCAACGACTTCTTAATTACTGCTGTTATTTTTCGAAAATTACGTCATACGCGATGCACTTGCGTAATTTTTACAGTTATTCCTACCCTTTAATTATTGTATTGACTTTCTGGTTAATTGTCACCCTTGTTTGATATGCTGATACTGACTTATTATTGTGAACAAACTTAGGAATTTTTGTATCGCATTAAAAATGTTACCTTTATTAGAGTAGAACCCCAGCTGAGGATCTAAGTGAAAAATAAACATCTCAATCAATTCGTTTGTCTTCTAAATGTCAAAATGGGCATTTGTTTTCATAACTGTTATTTCTTTCGGTTCTAGCTGCAATATTGGGATTTAACACCCCATCTGCACTTTGTCCTGTTCCTTGAAGTCCTCTTCATCTGTCTTCATGACTGCCCATCGTTTTTCGTCTCCTCTTCACACGATCTCTTCCATATTATCCTTGAGTACCCAACTCATCTTTCCTCATCCAGATTCCATTTGAGGACTGGCCTGGAGCGCGATGTCATTCGACGATCTCCATGGTGTGTGTTCCATTCATCTTCATTTTCTTCAAGATATTTGCTGGGAAATATATTCTTAATTAATTCGTCGCAAGAATTTGCTATTGCCAGTCCTTTCTGGACAACTATACGATCTTCAATATGGAGCGACGGCAGTCGTTGGTAAAGGTTTTCAGTAGTCTGTTGGATATGATTTTCGTGACGCTTTCAACAAGTTCCTGACCCATACAGAAACACTGACTTACTTGCTTAACATGAGCTTTGAAAATCCGAATCTTCTTCTTTATGCTGAGTGCGGAAGATTTCCAAACCACTTTCAGAGTGATGAAGGAGTGCCTTGTCTTTCCAGTTCTGGCTTCGCCGTCCTCATCCGTACCATCTGCCTATAATTGAAACTATGATGCCTAGATAAGTAAAGGAAGTAGCCTCTTCATATTTCCCCTGTCAATAGTGATTAGCTGTCTCCATTACCTCCGCCTTCTCTATGTTTACTAGGAGTTCTGCCTTTGCTGCATTTTCTCCCAGCTCGTTGGCTTTTGCCTGTGAGTTTGGGAATTCGTCTGCTAAGTCCAGATCTTTTGCAGTTTTCTTATCTGTCCAGTGCATTTCATTCTTCTTGCTCCCCAGATTCTTCCACGCAATCCAGTCCACCATCCGTAATAGTTGATGCACTGAAATCAAAATATATCTCAGCGGCAGGCAATCAACATAAACTACTTATAAGGAAACAAATAAGTAGTGTGAAGTTTATCTTCACTAGAAGAATTCGATATTCCGCATTTAGAGATGCTAGAAAAAGAAATAGAACCGGAAGAAGTATCCTATCCAGAAAGTCATTAAAATACAAATTACCTTTGCATAAAGTGAACTGAACTGTAGAACTTTAATTTCACCTAATAAAAAGTCTTACTACTTCTAACACAATCCGATGTTAGTTTGTTTCCAAACCAGTCATTTTTAACAAAAAACAAAAGACACTTGAGAATAATGAACATTGAAATTTTAATCAATGAAAGTTTTTGTTTTAATTTCACCATAATTAAAGTAGGCGGAATTTTCGACTTCACACATTAAAGTGTTGTTGTTATCTCTTTGTATCTTTATATATATATTTTTTAATGATTTTTCATGCAGTTACTGATGGATTAGTTATTTATTTAATTGAGCATTTCAGACATCACTGTAGGCACATAAAAAATCTCCTTCTTGGGAACAAAGGAGGTAAAATAGAGGGGAAAAAAGGAGGTTTTACGAGGAAATACCAAAAACTGGGAAAGCTAACAGTCAGCTAACATCTTTCTTTAAAGCAAGCAAGCTCACAAATACACAAACATGTACAAATATTTACACAAATGCAGATACAGACATAATATACACAATAGTTACATTGGGAACCCCGCCCCCCACTCACACCTACAAACACACACAGAGAAGCGGACAAAATACACTGACGCACATAGAGTTCTCTTGAGGTCGGAGCGCACAAGAACGAGACATGGGAAGAGGAGGATTGGGAGACATTAATGGTTTCAGTTAATTACGCAAAGGAATAAAAGCAAAAAGAGAATGAAAGCAAAAACATGCAGAAGTTAATTTTGATCGGTAAAAAATGGAACAGTACATGAATTTCTCATTGTTCTTTTTTTAAATGGAATGAGTGAGTGAATCACGTTGTTAGTTAGACAATAAATAGGTAAGTATAGATTTTAATAAAAGCAAAGGTACTTACAGTCTTCTGTAGCAGTATCTGTATGGTCTAGGTGTAACATTCTTACTGTAAAATGTTTATTAAATACAAGTTAATGGTGTTAAATACTAACGCTTTATAATTACTATTTATGTATTTGTATTTATATATATGTGCATGCTAGGTAGAATGAGTTGTGGGTGAGTGATTTAGGCGTTCAGTTTTTAACCAGGGAGTCAAGAGTTCAAACACCACTCTACCTACCGAGGCTTGGACATCCAGGTAGTATCACTAGCCCCCCCCCCACGTACAGTAGCTGTAACTCATTGCTAGCAGCATAGGAGTGCAAGTGGCTGTTGAGTAGCATTCACGTTCACGAAAACATAGCACCAGTCAATGAAGTCTGCAACAGTTAGTCTAAGCTACGTAGGAAGGCGTAGACTTCCTGACTGGTTGGGGTCCTCGGGATGGTAAAAACCAATGGTTGAAAACAATTGGTGACATGACTCAAAATCGTTCTCAATGGCTGGTGCAGATGCATCCACTCCTTGTGACTTATGATTTCCAATGAAACTGTTTTGTTCTTCGTTGTTACTATTCCTTTGTCTCACACCTCTGTTTACTGTCTATATTATGCATTTCTCCTACTTTCTTCTCTTCCTTTGTGTGCTACATGGAGTGTGGTGACTTGAACTGCCGCACATATGTGCAAAGTTCTATGTCGAAAACCGACCGACCGACGTTCACCGTAGGTAACCATGTTTCTTAGGTGATTCCTATGCTGTAATTAGTGAATCCATGACAATATTTTCGCATCATTACTGTCATTATGTAAGGCTGATCAATGGTCAGCTTAGGCGTATAGCCTCAAGTGAGTACCAATTACTTATCAAGGGTAGATTGAAGTATCCAGGTACCTTTTCTGCAGCTAAATTAAACTAAACAGACGCATACTTTAGAAGAATCGCTTATCGTGACAGCTTAGAGAGCGTGATGTTCTCTCGACAGAAGAAAATGTATAAATATTTTCCACTGTCACACAAAATTCAAATTATCTTCCATGTTTATAATCAGTTATTCCGGGGATGACATTAACCAGTGGGCTGCTAAAAATTGAGCTGTAATTAACCTCCATCATTGTATATAACATAGAATGCCTCTTCTTCACTATATTTAACCTATTAAAGTATGGCCTCTAAAAGTATATTTTACTCTCGCGAGTATTTGAAATGTTATCCTCAATGGATAGCAGCTTATCCCAATACATGAGATGATCGTCCCCAGGTGGTGTCCCACATTCACAAAATGTACTTATGAACCTTTTTATAATTGCCATTCACCAACAAAATGTCGTGTACATCTCGAAGGAGACAAAGAAGAGATGTCATAATGGATTAGTCAGGTAGAACTCTGTCACAGAGTCTACCGTCAATTAATCTTTCATTTCAAGATCCTAGAACACGATGCAATAAATTCCACTGAAAATTCTGTACACTTTATAAACAAAATTCACAATAAAGCTGCTATTATTATAATTATTACTCATGTAGAACAGAGATGTTGGTGTCATTTCAAACAACGGATAAATAATATTCAATTCTGCAGAAGAATGCAGTTTTCTTCTATGTATATCGAAAGTTAATGTAACTAGATAGAGTTCATGTGTGCTTTGAGTCACCTCTAGGCCGGCTAACCACCACTCAAAACTCCACCCGCATTGACTCCTTTACTCCATTATTTGAATCATCCCATAAACAAGTCTCTGATAGAATCTATCTCAATCAGTTTCAATTAATCTCTTGTAAGTGACCAAAAGTGAGCTGTAACCAGTGATATTCAGCAATGTTATAGCTGACTGGTGATATATTAAAACAATTCGACCTGATAGTGACCGACCACTTGAGCCTGCCTTGTTTCTGAATGCTTTTCCACTACCCTATTCACTCTGATTAGCAAAACAACATGAAAGCTGTTAAAACCACAAGAAAACTATACACACT